TTCAAGTTATGTAGAATAATCTTATTCTGTCATTTTGGTTAAATTCAGAATCTATCCATCCATTATCTACACACCTGACGTGGGTCGCTGGAGTCCCGGCCAGAGGACACCCTGCACAGGTCACCAGTCTATCACAGGGCTGTAATTCAGAACCATTTCGGGACACTTTTTAAAGTCATTTCAAACTAAATTTAGGTGATTTTGGATATTTACAGCCAGTCTTTCATTTTTGAAAACATTTTCTAATAAACTTTTAAGATATTTTGTACAAATTTTTGACAAATTTGTACAAATTCTGAGAAATTCTATAAAATTTTGGAGTCATTTTGTACAAATTTTCCTTATTTTGGACAATTAGGGCAGTTTTTAAGTAGTTTTGGACACGTTTTAGATTCGATGTGGAGTGGTTGTAGACATGCATGTTATTCAGAGAGTGAAGCCGCTGGTCCAGAACAGACTTTCAGGAGGATTAAAAGACATGAAAGCAGCAGGAGTTTTCCAGAGAGCAGTCTGTCCTTCGAGGCAAGTTTAACATTCCCACCATATGTTTTGCGACATAAAGAGTCCACCAAGGATTTCTGAATCCAGCTATTAGTGCGTTCACATCACACAAGAAAACCTCTCAAACCCGCCGACAGGTTTCAGGCTTCACAGAGTTAAACTGAATGAAAATGTGAAACTCAACGCATCAGTCAAATCCTAAAACTGTGTAATTATCTGATTTGTCCAAACTATTTATTGCCCCACTGAGACGAAGCTCTGATGCCGATTTCCTCCTAAACCTGTTTGTCCTTGTCCTAGAACACAATATTCATGAATATCAGCTTATTAATTATCCTCGCTAAGTTTTTAATGTGTGCTCATTAAGCCTTTTCCCTGCATTCTTGTAGAGTTTTGCTCATTTTCACAAAGATGTTGTTTGTATTTAAGACAGACAGTTATTTGCATTTACACCAGACTCCAAAAGAGAAAAGTTCGATTTAAGAACCTTGAAAACACGTTCTGTGACTCAGACTGACAGCTCTGAGTTTTAATATGTCTAAAGTATAGTAGTGAATACAGCCAGAGAGCGCATCAGCCAGACATTTAACAGCTTCAGTGACATAAACACACAATCCACACGGGATGACTGCGTCCTATTGTCGCTCTGCTGTGTGTGCGGCTGTAATGGAGCCTCTGATGTTCTGAAAAACATTCTGGCAAATAAACACAACAGCAATTAGCTTTTTGGCTCCAACAAAAAGGCAAAAAGCAAAGTTCCCCCGATGTTTGTCTGATGTTCTGGTCAATTAGAAGAAACTTTTGAAGATTTTCAGGAACACAAAACAACTGTTTAAAGCTTCGGCTCAGGTGAGGCTGATGATCGACCTGTAAACACACACACACACACACACACACACACACACACACACACACACACACACACACACACACAGTTGTGTTTCCATGACTTCAGATCACACAACACTGATGTTCATTCATTTCCAAGAGATTTACTTTGACCTTCAAACATCTTCATCTTAAATTTGATGACATACCTGATGCTGTTTGTATTTTGTCCCCACAAAACGAGTGTTTATTCAGATTTATGTCCTCACAACAATGGTAACAACCTCACACACACACACACACACACACTTTTTGAGCTCATCTACTTGTTGTCTGGATTTCGTCTCTCAGGTATTTGTCGGCTCGGTGGAAAATTCTTTTCACAGCACGAGAAAATAGCAACAGCTGCTGTAGAGAAGAGCAGAATAAAACCTTCACTTCAATTAACTGTTAACGAAGTGACAGACAAACTATCAGGGAGCTGCAGCTGATCTGAAACAACTTTGTTATTAAGATGTTTAAAGACCTGGGATCAGTCAGTAAACGCTCCTTTGGATGCAGTTACAGCACTGAGGCTGTGTGGACGGATCTTAAATCCAATCTATGCACATCTGGATGCTGCGATTTTACCCCATTCTTTTGTTTTTGCAAACGTGATCAAGCTCTGCCAGGTGACACAGGAACAGTGAGTGGACGGGCCGTTTCCAGCTTTGTCTTATTGTCTTACTGGAAATCAGATCTTCTCCTACGTGGCTTTTCCACTGCAGGTTGTAATCCAGGATTTGTCTATAGTTTGCTGCATTAACTTGCCTCGACCTTCACAAGCCTCACAGGTCTGCTGCCGAAAAGCATCCCCTTATGATGATGCTGCCTCCTCCATGCTTCACAGTGGGGATGGTGTGTTTGTAATGATGTTGTAGCGTCTAGTCTGACGGGCAAAAAGCTAAATTTTGTCTCATCAGACCAAAGAACCTTCTTCCAGTTGACCTCAGAGTGTCCACACGCCTTCTGGTGAACTCTCGGCCACATTTAATGAGCTGTTTTTCCAACAGTGTCTTTCTCTTTGCTACTCCTCCATGAAGCTTTGACTGGCAAAGAACAAAAGTGATTGTGTGCAGGCCAGCAGACAGCCCTGGGCCCGGGACAAGGTGATACTAGATGGTCCAGTTCTGGGGGTATGTAAGTCGTTTATTTTCATTTGGAAACAAGACCAAAGCTTTGAAAAGTTGAAATTCATTTTTATCTTTCAGTGGACAGAATATTCTTTCATCAAAGCGATGATGATCCTGGAAACAAAAAAACTTTGCAGTGTTTCTGTACAGTCCTCTAAGTTTGTCATGAAATCCTTTATGGACGGTTGACAGGTAGGATTTAAAGGTTTTTCTTGAACATATGTTGCATTAATGCAGCAGGAACGGTGCACCAAGAAAACAAGATGGTCCAGAGAACAATGTTTTTACCTGCACAGAGAAATGTTCTGACAGCAAGCTGTTGGGAGATACATTCAGCACGGTGACACATCTTTCTACAGGTGATGCAGTGTGCTCATAGCTCACTATCTCAGTTTCACATGTAAACACTTCACTATATATTAACATGTAGTCGTGGTTAGTAAGAGACTGTTGGTAAGGCTTCATTATGGGAGGCCTGACAGAGGGCGTCTCCTGACTCACCTGGCCCAGCGTGCACTCCACCGACCCCAGGAAGGTGGCCTCCTTCAGCCCGTTGTGGCTGCTGTTGATGTCGTACAGCTCGAAGCGCAGACGCTGCACCTCCTCAAAGTAAAAGTCCAGAGTGAAGACCTTGGAGTAGGAGGGGTTCACACAGCTCCGGATCACCTCGGTCCGGTCCACCTGCAGGACACGAAGAGAGTCTCAAATAAATGCAGCGAAACACAGAGCAAAGCAAGTGACCTGTATTCAGTCACATCACAGCAGCAGCAGGGTCACGGACCGTCACTGGGGAAAACACCTGCACCGTTAAATGGATCAACATAAAGACCTGATTTATTGATCTGCATGAATATGTTGGACCCAAATACTCGGGCTGCAGCTGAGGATTATTTTCATTGACAAATATCTCTAGATTAACTAATTAGTCGTTGGGAAAATGTTTTTTTTTAAAAAGTTTCCTCAAATGTCTGGTTAAGTCCAAAGATATTCAGCTCACTGCCACTGAACAGGAAAGAAAACAGAAAACATTTACATTTGAGAAGCTGCAAACACAGAATTCAGACAGTTTTTCCCTAAAAATCTGCTCTCAAATCCATCCATCCATCATTACACACCACTTCATCCTAACTAGGGTCATGGGGGGCTGGAGTCTATCCCAGCTGACTCAGGGTGAAGCAGGTTCACCTGGACAGGTAACCAGTCTATCACAGGGCTA